TCAAGAAGACCAAAGCAAATTGATGTTTGCTAATATGGAGACTCAAATGGAACCAAAGGGCGAGGAGGACAAATCCCTTACAGAGGAAGAGGTCGTGGGAGGTATAATGGTGTAAGAGATGCTTCACGTATTACATGCTTTAGGTGGAACCAACTGGGGCACTTTTTCATACCAATGCCATGATCGATTGCTCGAGTTGCAAGAAGCACAAGTAACTGCAAACAATGACACTGAGGACGCAGATGAACTAATGATGCATGAAGTGGTATATCTAAATGAGAAAATTTGTGTGTCAAGCAAGTTTGAAACAAGCACGACATAGATAATATATGGTACCTTGATAATGGTGCTAGCAATCACATGACGGGAGATCAGAGGTACTTATAAAAGCTTAATAATTCGGCTTCTGGTAAAGTAAGATTTGGAGACGACTCACGCATTGACATCAAATGAAATGGCACCATCGCTTTCATCGACCTGAATGGAGAAGAACGAGTAGTGAAGAATGTTTATTACATCCCAGACTTAAAGAGAAACATCATAAGTCTTGGGCAAGCCACAGAGTCTGGATGCGATAAAAGATTACGAGGTGGTTACTTGACAATGGATGATCAAAAAACATAAAGTTGCTCGTCAAAGCACCAAAATCCAAGAATTCACTATACAAAGGTCGGATGGGATCAAGAGACTATGCACGTTTGTTTCTTGCGTCTATCAGCGAGAAGCAGATGGCATGCGGTAATGGTACATGTGAACTATGGAACGATCAAGCTTATGATAGAAAAAGAATTTTCTCGAGGAATACCAAATGTAATAGTTGAGAAACAAATCTGCGGTTCATGTCTGTTCGGAAAACAAGTTAGAGAAGTGTTTCCATAGGCTACTACCTACCGTTCATCTAAGATGATTGAGCTTATACATGGGGATCTTTGTGGACCTATAACGCCAGGTACGAGTGCTGGAAATAGGTACATCTTTGTGTTTATCGGCGACTATTCTCGATACATGTGGACAATTTTGGTGAAAGAGAAAGGAGAGGCATATCAAGAGTTCAGAAGTTTTAAAACAACAGTGGAACAAGAAGCAGAAGCAAGAATACAAACTTTCAGAACTGATAGAGGAGGAGAAATTTTGTCTCTAGAGTTCAGCTTTTTATGTGAAGACGCAGGTATCAAATGTCATCTTACTGCTCTGTATACTCCTCAGCAGAACAGAGTGGTCGAACGTCGAAATATAGCAATGATGGAGATGGGTACAAGCATCTTAAAACATATGTGTATTCCAAAATACTTGTGGGGAGAAGCAATAAGACATTTTATGTATCTATTTAACAGAGTGGGGACAAGAACGCTTAAGAATGAGACTCCACAAAAAAGATTTCGGGGAAAGAAACCAAGTGTTGATCATGTTTGATTTTTTGGGTGTGTTACAAACCTCATCTGAAGAAGCTTGACAAGAGATCACGAATGCTTGTTCATCTAGGAACATAACCATGATCCAAAGCCAATCTATTACTTGATCCACAAACAAATAAAATTATGGTGAGCTGAGATGTTGTATTCGATGAGACAAAGCGCTGGAACTGGAAACGTAATTATTCTGAAGACAATGGAGATGAAAGCTTCAAAATCAAGCTTCATGACTTTGAAAATCATGGACTTTAAGAGAGAGAAGAGAACGTTGAAGAAGAAAAAGATAAGCTAAGTCATGATAGTGAAAATGCAACAGGAGATAACAGAGACCTTGAACCTACAAACGAAGCAGAACTAAAGCATGAAAGTAAGGAAATCAGTGTTGCATCATCACAAGTTCTTAGAATACCGCAGAGACAGAGAAACAAGCCAAGGTATCTTGAGGATTATGTTCTTCTCATCGAAGAAGAAGGAGAGATGCTGCTTTTATGTCTGAACAATGAGCCAAGAAATTTTAGGAAGCAAGAGAATTGAAGGAGTGGATAGATGCTTGTGTAGAAGAAATTAAGTCGATGGAGAAGCTTCACACATGGGAACTTGTAGACTTTCCGGTTGGACTAAAGCCGATTGGGTTGAAATGGGTCTTTAAAATTAAGAGAAATTCTGATAGGAGTATAAACAAGTACAAGGCTCGACTTGTTTCTAAAGGCTATGTACAACAATATGGAGTGGATTCTGAAGAATTTTTTGCGCCAGTAGCTCGGATTGAGACAATATGACCACTCATCAATATCACAGCTTCTAATGAATGATAAATTCACCATCTTGATGTGAAAATAACTTTCTTGCATGGAGAATTAAAGGAAATCGTGTATTTTGTGCAACCTGAAGGCTTTGAAAAGGAAGGGAGTGAGAACAAAGTCTATAGGTTGAACGTAGCATTGTATGGGCTAAGACAAGCACCAAGAGCATGGAACAATAAGTTAAATAGCATCTTGATAGAGCTGCAGTTCGAGAAGTGCTCCAAAGAGCCATCAGTCTATCAAAAGGAGGTAACAGAAAGACTTCTAATTGTAGCAGTGTATGTTGAGTACTTTTTTGTGTCAGGAACGAGCCTAGAGATCATTAACAAGTTTATGGAAGAGATGGCCTCTAAGTTTGAAATAAGTGATCTCGGAAAACTGACGTATTACCTCGGAATCAAAGTGTTACAACATCAACAAAGAGTCACATTAGATCAGAGGCGTTGCGTACTGAAGATCTTAGAGAAGAAGTGTTACAACATCAACAAGGAATCACATTAGATCAGAGGCGTTACGCAAAGATCTTAGAGGAATCAGGTAAGAGAGACTGTAATTCAGTTCATACACCCATGGAAATATGACTGAACTTGGCTAAATCTGAGAATGAAGAGGAGATAGACACAACACATTTTTAAAAGATGGTTGGCTGTCTTCGTTACTTACTACACATGACACCCTTTTTATCTTATTGTGTTAGTATACTGAGTCGATATATGTAGAGTCCCCGAGCTTCTCATGGAGTTGCAATGAAACAAGTATTCATATACTTAAAAGGAACCACTGGTCTCAGTCTAACCTTTGAAAGGTGTACGAGCATTTGGAATCTGATAGGTTACTGTGACAGTAGCCACAATGTTGATCCAGATACTGGTAGAAGCACAACAGGACACATCTTCTATCTTGGAAAGAGTTCGATCACCTGGTGTTCACAAAAGCAATACATTATCGCGTTAACTTCTTTTGAAGCAGAGTTTATGGCCGGGACAGAGTAGCAAAAAGGTCATCATCTACATTGATAACAAATTGGCAATCGCTTTAACAAAGAATCAAGTGTTCCATGGCAGAAGCAAGCATATACATAGGAGATACCACTTCATAACAGAATGTGTTTAAAGTGGTTAGATATAAGTGGAGCATGTTCCGGGAAGTAAGCAAAAGACGGACATACTTACAAAGGCCTTGGAAAGAATTAGATTTAAAGAATAAAGGAGCTCATAGGATTATAAGATTTAGAGAAAGAAAGTAAACCGCCCCGACCGCCCACGGCTAATTGGCCACCCACACCCGCTCACTCGGCCCGTGGGTCCCATCCCGTTCCAACGGCCGGTCCGTTAATTTTTCAAGGCTCTAGAATCATGTTCACTGACCCTTCAATCACCACATGATCTTTCCACGTGCTTTAATCTCACTTACACGGTATCGCAATTCACTTCCAATAGGTCACCCATCCTTTGACTACTCCAGCTCAAGCACACTTAACTCTGGAGTTCTCTCTAGATGTGCTCCCAAAAAGGTAAGTTCACTTTGGTGACATAGGTAGTCAAATCAATCTTCTTAATATTTTCCGTATATCACAACTCGGGATGTTACAATTCACCCCCCCCCCCCTCAAAGAACGCAACGTCCTCGTTGCGCCCCACGACAGTCTCAAGACGCCTCTCAGGTCAGAACTGAGATGGATAACCTGGATCTGATACCACTTATAACGGCCCGACCGCCCACCGCTAATGGGCCACCTACTCCCGCTCACTCACCCCGTGGGCCCCATCCCTTTCCAATGGCCGGTTCGTTAATTTTCCAAGGCTTTAGAATCATGTTCACTAACCCTGCAATCACCACATGACCTTTTCCGTGCTTTAGCCTCACTTACACGGTATCGCAAATCACTTTCCAATAGGTCACCTATTCTTTGACTACTCCAGCTCAAGCATGCTTAACTCTGGAATTCTCTCTGAATGTGCTCCCGAAAAGATAAGTGCACTTTGGTGACATAGGTAGCCAAATCAATCCTCTTAAGTTTTTTTGTATATCACAACTCGGGATGCTACAGAAGGTTGTAAGATTAAAGGAGAGATTGTTGAGATAAGCTTGAATAACAAGCAATCCTAAAGAGATTAGGAATATGAGACATATCTAGGAGTTATCTAAATATGTTAAGAGAGTTAAGAAAAGAAAATTATCATATTGAAAGAATAGGAAGTTTGAGAAGGTCTTTCTTTATATAAAGAGATGCAAACATGTTGCATAACTTATGAGTTGTGAGATTGAGAAGTGAAAGCTTTAGTTTTGAGTTGGTTTTTTAAAGCAATAAAGAATAGTTTTTCTTTATACTGAGTTGTTTATCTTTGAGTTCGAGATTGTGTGTGGGACTGTGGGGTAAAGTGAAAGTATGTAACTGATAGTAGTATTTCAGGGGTATTTCACTGGTTCTCAGATAAAATATCTTCTTCATTATCAGCTTTTATTTTTATTTTTTTGTTGAGATAGTAAGAATTTTCACTGGAGATAATCTGTTTATTTTTGTAATTATTGCTTTAAGAATATACAGTAGTCAATAGGAAGCAAAAAGAACAGAAAATAGAAAATACAACAATGGTTGAGCTGATTATTGTAGTATTTTACATGCTCTTAATTTTTTTATTTTTGAAACAACTTAGCAAAACTACATAATTCAAAACTTGGGGAGGGAAGTTGGGAACAATATATATTTGCACTCTCACCAAATATTATGAGGGCAATAAACCAATATTATTCGTGTGGTTTAATTATTATTTTTGTGAGCTAATTAATCGAATGGGACAGGGTGGACGAGCAAGGATCGGACATGATCGACGGTCTTAGCCATTTCGGGACAGCCATAGCCATCACCATACTGATAAACGCACTGGGCCACGCGTCCAAGGTTAGCTGCCGCTTCTACGAAACCTTGATGTAGCCAGCAACTCTTTCTTTCAAAGTTCAAGTCTTCCCAAGCCACACCGATCATTTCTCGAATGTGCGCACGTGACTCTGCCTCTGGAGATCCATTTTCATGCATGTGACATTGTACGGACTTCATATTGTCGCCTCTCGCCAATTCCTTCTGTTACATTCTCACATATATATCAAAAAATAACATATATATAACACAAATACATAACATATGCTGTGAGTAAAACCGCTATGTATTTATAGACAGCCTTGAACGTGTGAGCCTCCATAATTTGGGAGTCTATTTAAAAAGACTAGTTAATTATGGGAGGGTCAAAATATATTATTCTGTGCAAAATAAAGACGGAAAATACAAATTAAAAATCTATGCTTTCCTATATTTAATAAATATGTTTATCTTATAATCTGTATGTTTTTAAGAGATTAATGTTTTAGATTTTTGTTTCACAAGGTTGATGTTTTATAGTTTAATAATGCATTTACGAGTTAAGGACAAATACTTGTATACAAATAACTAAGCTGTGTCTTGATATGTATAAAAACAGAAAGTGATGTTTATATATTATTAAAAAATAAAAAAAAACTAATAAAAGAAATTATTATTGAGTTTTCAATATGTGGGAAATAGCCAAATCAAAAATCATATATATTATTTTATATATTATTTTACATAGTACGGTTTTATTGTTTGGGATTTCAAACTATTTAAGGACCGTCAAGTATATATTTAAAGAAAAATTCAAGGTAAGTTTCTTGTAAAAGTTCTTATTTATATTATTTCTCTTCTTATAAAGTTTTTTTGGTTTTTTTTAAGTCATTAGTTTGAAATTGTTGTTTAAGACCCTTTTACTATTTGTTAAACACCTGTAAATTTGTAATATGTATTAGACACAAAGTATCTCAAATCGGTAGTTGGAAATAATCCTAAGATAGATGTGCTATTTTACTTATCACCAATTGGTTTTAGATTAGAAGTCCATCTACTTTAACATGGTATCAGAGTCCTCGATGCACAAAGTCCAACCCGATCCCATTGATCTGACCCAAAGATATGACCCATCGATCCTTGCCCGAACATTCTGAGATAAACACTCAAAGACCCATCATCTCGAGGGAACGTATTAGACACTAAGTGTCCCACATCGGTATTTAGAAAGAATTCTTAATAGTATATAAGTTAAATGGACCAATCCACTTTATCACCAATTAATTTTAGGTTGGAAACCCATCTAGTTCAACAATATGTACACTATTAATACTATCAAGTTGGGAAACTATGACTAACCGAAGAAGTGGCGAGATCGTTAGCGAGTCGGAGGATTGTGGCAGAGTTTCGAATAACATGATGGTGGTAGGAGAAAAGAACGTCTAGGTTTTGGTCGAGGAAGAGACATAGCAAGTGGAGCAGTATTGTAGGGACAGAACTTGAGAGCCAACCATTTTCCATGTACTCTTCGAGGTTAGGTTTGTAACTACTTCTGTACCACTTTGCCTCTTTTAAAAACGCTGTACACATATCTGCCCACTAAGTAGAGAAAACAAAATGAATTTATAGAGTGATTTTGGTGAAAATATATTAATATCCGATCCATATTAGAAAAAAAAATCCATTTATCGCATAGAGAAAAGAAAAAAAAAATTGATCTAGTATTCATTTGTTTTCTTAAAATCCTATGCAAACATATTTACCTAATCGTGTAGTTGACATTTCAAATGCTAATCATAGATACATTTGCACGCACATTTAATTGAACTAAGTAATGACATCAACACAGCGCTAAATCCAATTATAATATTATAGTGATAATACGTACGGATTTTCTGAGGTAAGGAATGGCATTAAATCCTTTGTCTCTTAGAATTATATATCCAATCTGATTAATTTCGTTGATGAGGCATAGAAAACACAACTTCATGTACTTGGGAAGTTCTTCGAGACGATTCACGTCCCATCTACATAATAGAATATATTAAATGGAAAAAAAAGTCAGTTAAAAGAAATAAATAAATACCAAAATTTGCTAACCATGAAATAAATCTAGCTTATAAATAGATATATATATATATATATATATATATATATATATATATATATATATATATATGTAGTAACCATTTTTTTAATTCATACTTTTCAACAATAACTGTGAATAGTTGGAGCTCCTCCAGTGTCCCATATAAATCGTATATATCGTCGATAGTGGTAATAAGCATGAATACTTTTGTAAGCATTTGTCGATGATATACAAACTCAGGCTCACAGATTACTCCAACACTTGAGAAATAACTCTCCGTTATTCGATCTCTTACGAAATCAAGGGTTTTTGTTAATCCCGTCTTGCCCCACCAGCTGCTTCATACAATAATACATATAATTGACGAAACCATAATTAATGTTTTTGAATGTTTTAAATGGCTTTGTATGCGTCTACATAGTAAACTATTATTTACATTTAAAACTGCAACCATTTACTTTTCTAGGATTTTAATATTAAAACTATATATAAACTGCATTTAATCTTTTAAAATTCTTACCATATATACTGTAAAAGTCATGAGTTTTCATCTGGAAAACAATTAACGATGAATAAATATATAATCGTATGTCATTTATGTCTTAGTCTGATTATTTTCATTTTTAATATGAGAATATTAATACGTTTTTGAGGCCTTGTTGTCAAAAAAAATATATATACGTTTTTGAGGTGATGTATATTTTTGTCTTTTTAAGATTGACTGACTCCTACCTTCTTGGAACGGCTATATATAAATCCATCTATGTTTTCTAGTCTTATAACCAGAGAATAATCATGAAACTTTATATAAGTCAAGAACCCGTATTCGTTAAATTTCAGTGCACGTTTTTTTTTCAGTATACGTTTTTTTTTAACTTATACATAACTAGTAATTCTAACATAAACGAAAAAAGAGTTTCAATGTCGACGAATCGTGTATTGTTTAAGTTAGATTACCTAGAAAGAGTTTTGAGCTCGTCTTGATGGATAACTTGTACGAAATTGAAATCAAGTTTCGCCAATTCTAGTAACTTAGGGTTCATGTCCTGCGTCTCGCCATACACGTCTATGTACCATCTTGCTTCTAATCTTCGCACTCTCCGATGGTATGGCATTTCTAGCGCACGTATCACCATCTTTTGAACATAAGATGTGGTCTCATTGTTCTTCATTTCCACGAACTTTTTAAGTCGTGTTGTTGTATAGTATATGGTCTCTTTCAATTTAGTATCGAATCTGGTCGAGAGATATGAAGCTTCGTATAGTGAAAGAACACTCTTGATGTCTTCATCATCCAAACCATCTCCAAAATTGCAGTCGAAAACATCTGCAGTAAATCACAATTTTATTTGATTGTATAATAGAATACAACAATATATATAACTGATTCTAAATAATTATTTTTCGTTCAAGTCTAATATCAGAAATATATAGTTTGAATTTTAAAATCGACATTCATTTTCTAAATTATAAATTATATATAAATGAACTCCTGTTATTGGACAGCATATAAATGAAATCTAAAAGATAAATAATATGTCAATATTCGTTTGTGTTTTTTCAAAAGCAAGGTATATATTCATTTGTATTTTTGCTTTCAACCTTGTGCGATATTAAAACCATGTTGCCTTAAGAGCCGGAACTCAAGGGCAGTCGCATATAAGTCTTCAGATCTCTTCCGATCCCTCTTTCTGTGCCTCACATTTCTAACGTGCACATTCGTTAGAACCTTCTTGATTTCACGTTCGAAATGGTAAGAAATTCCGAGCCTTTGTAAAGTGTCAACGAACTCTAGCTGTTCAAGTAAACCCTCTGTGTCATCAAGCATTTTACTAACTTCTTGCTTCAATAACTTAGCTCTCTCGATATTGTCCTCTTTCTGCATAGTATAAAATATTTGTTAGAATATATAAGGTTCTAGAGAATATCTAGTGTATCTACAAGATACGTAATATCTAAACCGTATATATTACTAATATATCATATGGTTTTAAATGACACGTTGTATATATAGATTTTGATACATATACCGCATATTTGTTCCCCAGCGAGAGGAGATTCTCGTGCTCCCAAAGAGACGGTCGATAGTTTGCAGAGCGACGGGCTTCAAGAGGCTGTGACTGAGTTTTCATTATAATTTTTTTCTTTTTCTAATTATTATATTGAAGAATTCAAAATTTTGATGAACTATTATTTACACTTTGCAATGCTAATTTATACTGTCTAGCTATTGTTTGAGATCTGGACCACGGATATCATGGTATTCTTTTTGCGTTTGAATAGAAATTATTTTATTTATCTGAACTTTTCTTTTGACATATTTATTTGAACTTTAAAAATATCATCGTTGATTCGTTGTACATATGATATAAATAATACTTAGCATCAGCCACACCCACACGATTTGCTCGCTAAAGCATCCATTCTCGTAAATATCTTCGAGAACCATGAGAAGTAATGGCTAGAACATTTGGGAATTATATATCCACACAAATTTAGGATTTATTGATTTGAATCTCTTTTGATTAACTATTGCTTTCAATGTCGCCAAAAATATCTGCAACTTTAATCAAATATTTAAGGCAAGTGACAGTATTTTTTTCTGATGCTCAGTCTATGTTTTGAAGTTCAAACGTATAGCGACAATGTTCTAAAATGAGACATGTTGTTCGTTTTCAACCATAATATATATAACAATAACAAGTTTGATTTAAATTCAATCTTTTTAGTTTTGGACGTATAAATTTCAGTGTTAATTGTTATATCAAATTGAGGTTTTCTTTAATCATGAGATTTACTTAAAGGACAATATAAAATAAGGAAAGCTGTTCGAGAGTGACAAGATAATATCAAACATTCAAAAAATATGTTACGTATACAAATTTTTTATCCAGAAGACAATATGTTACGTAAAGGACAATATAAAATAGGGAAAGCTGTTCGAGAGTGACAAAACAATATCAAACATTCGAAAAAAATTCTCTATATGCATGGATTACACACATACAATATTTCTTGTGGATAAAAATGTTTTGAACGACATTATTGGTAAGCCCCATGACCAAAATATTAACAGAAAACATAAGAAACGTTTTATCACGTGATGTAATTGTGACTTTAGAAAGCATATAAATTAGGAACAGTGTCTCATATTCCACACAGAAATCGGCTGAAATCTATTGATAACCTATAGGCTCTACACACGGACAAGTATAAATACAACATATCCATATATTTCGTGTATTAAAAATTGCGTATCTTTAGTATTCTTTTTGGTAGAAGTATCTATATATAGTTTTCGTCATACACATTTTCATTGTTCATATTTAACATAAGTTTTTTTATTTGGGATAAATTCTATTAAAAAGTTTGGTACATTAATATTTAAATTACGCTATCTTGATGGCTTAAGAATAGACACATATCGAATATTAAAAAAAAATATATATATATTTAAAATTTTCAACATCCATATCTAATTTCATTGGATCTTCAGTTTTATTACCGGATCCAGATCAATTTTTGGATAGCCAAAATTTTAATATCTGTAACATTAAGAAATATTCGGCGGATATTTGAATCTGATATAAGATAAACAAAAATTAAAAGCATAACTATCATATTTTTATATAAAACAACCACATAAGATGGAAAACGTGCAAAATTGTTTTAGACTTTTCAAGATAAACCGGATATCAAAATAATTTTTTTTTAAAAGATAAACTTAACACTGTGAAAATGACAATCCAAGCTCACATATTACTAACATAAACATACCTTTAAACTTAAATCACACGGTTTCTCTGATAATACATTTGGTATGAGAAGAAAATTTACAGTGTCAAAACTTAAGGTCATATATTACTAGTAAATTAATTATATTCCAAAATGTCAATTATACTTTATGCTTATTAACAAACAAAAAATAGTCTTTGAATGTTAGAGAGAATGTGAGTGGAAAAGAAGAGAAAGTAGATTTTGGATGATTGTCTTAACAATGTGGCTTATTGATAATAGCTGATTTAAAAATAAACTAGGTGTTTGCCCGCAATTTTGCTGATAGTAATATTATGTGAATAAATATATATTATATTTTACAGTGATCTAATTTATGAATTAATAATTAAAAAAATTAAAATTATAATTTTATTTTCAAATATTGCATAATCTAAAAATATTATTATATATTTTTTAGAAGATTTATGAAATTTAAAATAGTTCAACAACATAAATCTAAGTTTGTAAAAAAAAAATTCTTACATAAAAAGATTATTATATTTATTTCAGGTAATTATTGTTTATTTGAAACAAAAATATCATAGTCTCAAGAGAGAGAGAAAAAGGTGTTTTTTTCTTGTGTATCTCCAAAACGATTCTTAGAGGCTTCTGTAGCTCCAACATCAGTTTTGAAATTTTTTTACTTATGTTTTATATTGATTGGTTTGACTGTATTCAACTTATTTTAAAGTTAAAAAAAAAATAGAAATTGTTTCTTTGTGTTTCTTTCAAAATATTTGGCAAAAAAAATGGATGTGATTAAAAATGGTTAAATTCTATTTTTGGATATAAATAAGGTATTTAAATCTAGAAAATGCAGATAATTAGTTGTTCAATTTTTTGTTTTGTTTTAGTATGGATACAAATAAATAAAAATCTAAAAATCATCAAAAATTGAAATTGTAACATTTTTAAAAAAATTCCACCTATGAACTTACGTGTAACCAAAAACCACTTAAATAACTTGTCTTTGAATATATAATAAAAATGAAAGATAATTTATAAATCATTATAAATATACATATATACGATTATAAATATATTTATAACAATTTAAAAACAATTATTTATAAAATTTATGAGTTTTTGTGGTTCACCTTGTTTAATTGTTTGAATATATAACTTAATTGTATATAAATAACTGACAAAAATAAAAAAAAAAATTGATGAAACCTTATATTTTCTTTCTATAATTCTGTTGTTAGTTATTATAAATAATTATTTGTAATATTTTTGTGTTGTTTGGTAACTTATATTAATTGGTTCTAAATTTTCTTTCTATTTTTAGATCTGATTGAAATATATAATTAATAAAATTAATCAACCAATAAAATTATAACAATTTTTGTAAACTTCACCTATCATTGACATATAAGCAAAAGACACTTCAGTGAATTCACAATTAATATATAGTAGGATCTTAGTCATTTTTTCAAAAACAAAAATATAAAATCTGATTATATTTTCTACAATAATTATTTTAAAATATATTCAATTTTTACTTTGTGTTTACAATTGGTAGAACATGACTAAATTTCAAATGATCGAAAATGTAAAATATTCGAACGCTTCTTTTAAAATCATATGTTTCAAGTTAATTTTTTATTATTGATATATTTAACAATAAATTTATCATAAACTTAAGGATATGTTTTTATTCTAATATTGTTTGGATTATTTGGCAACTGAAGTAATTTGGTTTATGGTTATTTATATTTTTAGAATCAAATTATATAAATCAAAAATGAAAAACGTAGACTAATTGAATTATAAAAATTAATCCTACAATCCACCTATGTAAAACATGTTAAATTTTCTATTTTTTTAAACTAATATTTTCTTTCGTAATTAAAGTTATATATTTTATATGTGTCATCATATAATTAATTGAATATTTTTACGTTATATACATCAGATCTGAACCCGAACCAAATCGGCTAATAAGGTTAATCGGGTAAAACTTAGCTAGTTGAGAGAATTTATCCTGGAAAATGATATTTGAATATCCAATTATTTTAAAATGGGTACACCTAGGCATCAGACTTAATATCTGGTATTCGCTATCCGATCTGAGATTCGCTCTGATCTACTCCAAAAAATGGATATCCGGGGGTTCCGGGTCTGGATCCAGATAGTGATTTTATGTATCCGGAGGATCTGGATACAGATCCGGATAGTGAAATTTCAGATCAGGTCCGGATCGGGGCCCACTATACATTTATAAAATATTTAAAATATAATTATATTTATATATGTATAGAATTTTATATAGACTAAATAATTTAATTTGGAGAAAATTTCAAGGATTTTTCAATTTTTTTACAAAAAAAAAATTAAATAAAATAAGTAAAAAGTAGTTTAGTTAGTTTAATTTATTTATTTTTTAAAAATGAATGAATCCGAATATTTACGTGTATTCGGATTTTAGTCTGGATATCCTAATCCAAATACCTGAAATGCCCGAATCCGGATCTAGATTACAATGTTACGGATCCTGGTATCTTAAAATATCCCGATATACGATCGGTCTCACTCCTAGGTACATGTACACTTTATACAAGATTGTTTTTGTTTGTCTTCAGTGAGAAAGGACGTGCAAATTTGTTGGACCACTTAATTAAGAGAAGTGGTTGTAACGAGTAATCACATGTGGGCAAAGACGTGACGTTATTATCTCATGGGACACTCATGGCCCTATCAGTTCTGTCTTCTCTATCATTCACATTTCATAGTTTATACAATATTTTCGGTCGAGAGAGCGTAACAATAGACGGCAGATTTAGAGTCCATTCTCTAATTGAATTGAAGATGGTGATTGATAATTTGATTTGCAACAAAATTTTATCTCAGTCCGTAACTGGAAAACCATAATTAAATATGATAGCTTGTTTGAACACAAAAAAAAAAAAAAAAATTAAATATGATAGCTTCTGAATCCGGAAGTTTACCAGCTTCTTTAAGACCAACCGCAACGGGAGTATGTCGGGAGTCCTTAGCGTCTTAACCTAGGTAGATTAGCTTAGATTAATATTATTGTAGATGAATAAGCTAAGGATCAATCCATAAATAAGGATTTACCGGACTTGATCCTTAGAGACATGCCGTTTTGTAATTCGTTTGGTTGGCTTTTGGGTTTGGTGTTGCGAAAAAAATCAATTCATTTTCGACGGAAGCCGAGAAAAAAAGAAGAGCTCTCGGCGAAAAGGCGATTCGATCGGGTCGAGAAGGAAGGTGAATCGAAGCCCTCTCTTCGAGTTTTTGGGATTTAGATTAGGTTCGATGTTGTTTATCTTTCAATTTAGGGTTGGGTTCTCGGTTAGGGTTTGAAAAGATTTGGGTTTTCAATCGATTTGGG